AATTTTGCTACTGTTATGAATCATAATGTAAATATCTGATATGCAGGATGTGTTTTCATTGTTACGAATTGAACATAATTAAAGCATAGTGATTATTCACAAAAACAATATGTAATTATATAAGTGTTTTCCAATGGTCTTAGGTGACCCCTTGTGAAAGGGTCATTCGACCTCCAAAGGGGTCAGGGGCCACAGGTTGGCGACCCGCAGGTTGAGAACCGCTGGCTTAAAGACTTAACTTGGATCAAAAAGTTCCAGAAATGTTTCCGGAAATGTACTAGGAACTTGTAAAAAAGTAACAATTAGATTATCGAATAATGGTGCATGCTCAGTTGAGATTATGTAACTTGAATTAGCAGTAGACACATCAGCAGCTTTTCCCTTTCTCCAGCAGCTTTTTAGGCCAAGAATCAATAACATAAGGTAGTAAATGAATAAGACTGAAGTAAAAGCAATCTTAAATTGAGCCTCCAAAAATCTTAAATTGAGACTTCAAAACTGGACCAGCCCTTTAGGGTATGGTCTAGTTCAGTGGTAGGCAAACTCAGTCAACAGAGCCAAATATCAACAGTACTTCTTCAAAATAGACTCGCCCAGCCCGAAAACCGACTTCTGCACATGGGCCACGAAGTTTCAATCACACTGTACGTGCTCCCGCACGTGGTATTTTGTGAAAGAGCCACACTCAAGGGGCCAAAGAGCCACATGTGGTTCGTGAGCTGTGGTTTGCCGACCACGGGTCTAGTTCATTAAACTCACCATATTTACTCAGAATCCAACCTCCTTTCTAATTGCTCTATTTGTTACTGCCACACAATTGAATCAAATATTTGTGTTGGAAGCCTGCTCAAACTCTGACATTAATCAGCTACTTTAGATCAGTAGTTTGTCATATGGATAATTCATAGATAAACTCAGAGAATGTTGTGGCTTACAGACCCTCTCCTGTGTCCTCAAGAAATGAGTGAGGAAATGATATTTGACAATTTTATGTGTCTTTCCCAATGTCACATAGCTTATTGGTAACAGTGAACATGAGAACCGAGGACTCCTGACTGCCATGATATGGCACTGCCCATCAGTCAATCATGAGTGAGGAAAAGAGATGGGAAATAGCACGTGCAAAATATATAAAGAGCTAGTAACATCTCTAAGCAAAAAAATATTACTTGAAGTTGTTCCCATGGAGAGCACTTTGGTCTGAAGCACTTCCTGTTGTTACTCGTCTTTTCTTAGTTTTCCTCCTTCGCCCGATGCTTGACATCTGTTCTATCGCACATTTACCTGCAGGGCGGCTTCTGCTTCTTCTAACGCTGGTTTGGCTGCTTCCAGTTTCTCTTCTGCAATGGCCTTGTCCTTAGAGATGCCGTCTACAATGGCTTGTGCTTTGTCCTTTACCTTCTGTACCTCAGCCTTCACCTTCTCGGCAGCCTGTGCCTTCATTGTCACTTCTTTTAAGACCTAATTCAATATACAACGAAAAAACAAAAAAGCCTCGTCAAAAATTAGACCCAGCTGAAAGGGCACATTTTTGCTTTGGTTTCTTGATTTTGTCCATTTATATAATTTTTCATACATATATATATCATTAACATTTGTGAACCAGGAATTCAAAATAATTGTGGTACACATGTGAATGTCCACCCACCGTGTCGGCTTTATAGTTTGCCACTTGTAGCTCCTTTTCTTTCACTTCCAGTTCTTTGCTCAGAGCTGCAACAGACTCTGAAGCTTCTTTTAGCTTTTTCAATCCAGTATTCATTCTGAGATTGAAAATCCAAGAAAGCAATGTTAATTTTGTGGTAGCTGGCCACATTTTCCCAGCGGTCTATATTATAGATAGTAATGGCCATATTTGAAGACTGAGTATACATACAAACAGCAAATCCAGCAGGGCTTGATAAAAAGGGATGGGTCCAGGCTTGATTCCAGCCTAAAGACATTGGTGTGTTTTCCACAGACTGTGTGTGGGAAGAGAGAACCTGCTAAAAATATTCTGTATGCCCAGCCAGTGTGGCTCAATGGTTGAGCATCGACCTATGAACCAGGAGGTCACAGTTCAATTTCCAGTCATGGCACATGCCCTAGTTGCAGGCTAGATCCCCAATAGGGACCTGCAAGAGGCAGCCGATCAATGATTCTCTCTTTATCATTGATGTTTCTATCTCTCTCTCCCACTCTCTTCCTCTCTAAAATCAATAAAATATATATATTTTAAATATTCTGCCTAACATGAGGAACATCAGTGGATCTAGCATTTGTATCCTGCAGGAAACGTGTTTAACAAAGTTTAGTTAAATGATAATAGACTTCAAATGTTTGAAGGCCTATCATGGAGGAAGGAGAATCAATGACTTCCACTTTTTGAAAGAGACCAATGAGCCCTAGCTGGTTTGGCTCAGTGGATAAAGCATCAGCCTATGAACTGAAAGGCCCAGCGTTTGATTCCAGTCAAGGGCACATGCCCAGGTTGTGGGCTCAATCCCCAATAGGGGGCTGCAAGGGGTAGGCAATCAATGATTTTCTCTTATCATTGATGTTTTTATCTCTCTCACTCCCTCACGCAAATCAATAAAAATATTTTCAAAAAGGAGACCAAATGAACTGAAAGGCCCAGCGTTTGATTCCAGTCAAGGGCACATGCCCAGGTTGTGGGCTCAATCCCCAATAGGGGGCTGGAAGGGCTAGCCAATCAATGATTTTCTCTCATCATTGATGTTTCTATCTCTCTCACTCCCTCGCTCAAATCAATAAAAATATTTTTAAAAAGGAGACCAGTGAGGTTAAAAGCAGAAAGATTTAGGATCAAGAGGATAAATGAATTTAAAATCATCAGAACAACACCGTGAAGGGACTAGCTACCTGCCTGAGCCTGAATTAATGCATCTTAAAGACTGGAGCCCTCAGAGTTATTTAGTATAATCACTCACCCAGGTGTTCCTCATGTAACAACCCTGGCTTATTCTGTCCATATTCAGGCAGAAGATGTAAGTGGTCAGAAAAGAGTAGGGAAGAGAGTGAAATATGGAACAAACCTCAGCGAAGTAGTTATTCACTTATATACAGTGAATATAAGCAGGAAAGAGAGTATCCTAGATCCTCAGAAAGGATAGCAAGAGAGGGAGGAGGGGATGTCTGGGTCCTCAGCTTCCTCCCAGGTCTAATATTTCTATAATTATGTCAGTCAATATTAGACAAAGTGGTAGGCCACATAAACACTTGGCAACATTTTTTCCCATTGGGCAAGAAGAAAGCCCCTAGCAGCCATAAACCTTTGAACAGGTTTGAGAGAAGGTTTTCTCAACCCTATCACTGTTGGCCCTGACCTCCACTTGATTCTTTGATGTAGAGGTTGTCCCATGCACTGAAGGATGGCTAGCAGCAGCCCTGACCTCCACTTATTTGATGCCAGGAGGACTGCTCCACGCCCCCATCACTGGAGTTTTAACAAAGAAAAATGCCCACTAGGAGTAAATTTGCCCTCGTTGAGAGTGACTGCTGTAAAATAACTCCATATTTGAACTTCACACTTACCTGTTGGCCAGAGTTTGCACTTGCACATGCTTCTCTCCGTATATGAACTTGTAGCCCTGAATGAAGGACAGGTATGACTTGGGAGTCACGTGGGTAGAACGTCGGAATCTCTGGAAATAATCAACACACTTCTCAGCTACCCCATCCTGGAAGGAGCCCATGCACTGGACCACTTCCTTCTTGGTTTCCAGACTGCAGTCAATATCATAGGAAGAAAGGAAGTGTTCAGACACTAGAAAGAAAGAATAGAGATGACAGCACGGGAAATATGATCATGAATTACCATGGTAAAAGTTAACTGGCTATTTTTTTTAAGACTTAGTTATTTCTTAGGACTCCATACTATTTTTAGCCCTAACCAAGTAGATATAAGTCAGCATTTTTGGTCCCAGGCCTATGACATCAATAATTTTATTTTCCTTTTCATGTATAAAACTATCACAGACTTTAAATCTATCATCACGCCTTGTTTTCTGGTACTTATGCAAAGAAGTCTCTTCTACACAGCTGCAGCTTCGGGTCAGCGGCCAGCATGTTGTATGGTTTACATAAGGACAAAAGTGGTACAAATAGCTCAGAAATCAGTGCCCACTTGGTACTCATATTTAAGAATCTCATTTTTTTTTACTCAGAACCTGTCAAATCCTTAATTCCCTCACATTCTGACTGCATTTGGCTGTAGATTGTTCATCACTAATTTTTTTTAATCCCTGGGCCAATTTGTTCTTAAATGTAGCAGCTAGTCATTTGCAGTCAATTCTAATTTGCAGCATCATTTTAAAATGTTTGGGTAAAACCTCCTGTTGTTCACTTTTATCTTCCCAACAGTGCCGAACACAGGGCCAGCTCTAAGACAGCATTTCCTAGTATAAGAATAGGCCACCACATCAGAGCTAATCAATCACACATACATATTAAGTGTCTGCTACACACCCACCACTGTGTGGTGCCATGGAATAAAAGAGGAGGATGACACTTGGTCTCAACCCCAAGGAACTTTAAAGGGTTTCATGTAATACAGTTAAATCTTATCATAACCATTTTTATGAATCTTAGAAAAGATGGCCTATGGATTTTCTTTAAAAAGACTTAAAATACTGAATAACATACGTAAGAGTTGCAAACAGAAATGCGGCCAATAAAAAGGAGAATAAAGAGAAGGAATGAAGTGTAAAAACCTATCAGGTGATAGTTGGCAAAGAAATAAAAGTGGCATCTTTTCACCAATAGTAACTGATCACTAAATTAATGTGGTCATTGTGGAGCAGCATCTACATCTATGCAAGTAACAGAGACTGCTTATCAGTGTGAGATCGATGGGAGGCAGGTAAAGAGGAGGAGAGACCATTAGAAAGCTATTTAGGTTTTCCAGGTGAGTGGCAGTGATTGCTTGGCCTCGGGTATCAGTGAAGGAGAAAGAGTTGAGTAGATTCCACCAAAATTTAGAAGATAAAGTTGACATGATTTGATGATGGAATAGATCTGAAAGTCGAAGGGTGAGAGGTGCTAAAGACTAGAGATCTCTGATTGAAGTTTAAGGGATGATGATGGGACCTCCTGGGAGAGAGAGGCCAGAGGAGAACCAGTTCTGTTTCAAACATATTGAGTTTAAGGATCCTGTGAAACATCCATGACAGTGCATCAAGTAGGCAGTGAAGTGCACTAATTTCAAGCCAGAGGAGAGACCACACTGGAGATAAAATTGATGAGGCATATTACATCAGAGGCTGTGCATGAGCCTGCTGGGAGGAGAATCTGGACTAAAGAAACAAGTCTGTCTTGCCCTCCCACATGCCTGGCTCAATACACTCAATAAACACGTTCTGAATAAGTGAACAAATAGATGTATGCATGAGGTCAGAACACTTGCAAGGAACTGAGGACACAGAAATGTAAGTTTCCCTGACCATGTAATCTTGGCTTGAGTTGATGCCATGAGATTTAAAACTATGGGAAAGGTGGCCTATGGATTTTTTGTTTATTTGTGAGAAATAAACAAAGGTAGAATCAATAAGACCTCTGTCTTGTGAAAGAAGGGATGATCAAAGCATGGACTTGGCAGAAAGGGCTCCGTATTTAAATTAAATGATCTTAATTATGGTGTATTATTGTGATGGTCATCTGAAATTATTTTTGTTAATAATAGTACCTTACATGATAGTTTACAAAGTACTTGCATACTAATGATTACATCTCATAGGAAACTTTAATAAAGCATAGCTCTTAAATACTATCATTTTGTGCACTGCATTCATATCCGACTTCAAGGAATTTTTAAGTTTACACTTAGTTGTATTTACATTTTAATAGGACTTAAATTTTACATCACTGGCCTTTTCTCAACCGTTATATGACAAAAGAGAAAATTGTACAGTTGTCCTTCAAATAGGTTAAAATCACACATTAGAAAACCGTAATTTTCAGTAGTAGTATCTTACAAACAAAACTTCCCCAGTGGATAAGAGTTTGTTTAAAATATAGATATGGCTTCTAGTCAAAATATTGATGCTACTGTTTTCTTATGCCTCTGACAAGTCAAGTCCCTCAGCTCATCATCCCCAGTTTCCCCTCCTATAAAAGACAGGAGACACGCTAATGAGTCATTCTCTCACTGGGTACCACAGAGCTGGAGAGCAGGTGAGGGAGGCAGGAGTGAGGTGGGGTGAAAGAGGAGGCTCCAGAATGCTTCCTCCTCTCCACTTTTCACTGTTTTACCTACTATGGCTACCTGTGAGGTTTTACTGGGATAGAAGACTCTTCTTAATTTTAATTAGTATTAAAATACAATAACCAGAGAAAAAGTTTGACAGCCACTGCCATTGAATCAGGGTTCCCCTCAGGTTCTGATGCAGTAGGTCAGAGGTGAAACCTAAGTATCTCCACCAACTAAAATATCCACAGATAATTTCTCATCAAAAGCTGGGAAAGACCATGAACTAAATTAGTGCTCTCTAATATCTCCGTTACTACTTTTATGTTCAATCTATTCACAGAGTAAGAGAAGCATTAATGTCCCGTAGGATGGATGACTAGACAGAAGCAGCAGCAGCAGGGGCCCCAGCCACAGAACACTCTGGTTATCCTTTTCTAAGGACAGACACCATCAGAGGATTGCTGGATAATGATTCTGATCTAATATCCAGCACTGCAGCCACGAAAAGAAAACATCCACGAGACACATGGCTTAAACTACTGGTAGGTTGGCCAATCCACCAATGACGGAACAGAAATGGTATCAAATTAAAAATCTTAGTGGCTTCCTGTGACATTCCAGAGCCTGCCTGTGACCCATTTGAGACATAATTTCAGAACTAGAACACTGTCCATTAACCCAAAGGGGTACAGGCTGGAGATCTCTCTCTCTCTCTCTCTCTCTCTCTCTCTCTCCCTCTCTCTCTCACACACACACACACACACACACACACACACACACACCCATGCTTTGGGAAAAATTAGAAAATTTGTCCTCTAACCTTGGACAAAGTGACTTTTGACTCAATCCAGTACAGTGACAGCACATAGCACAGGATGTGAACAAACACTGGAAACTGGACACTTCAACATAAGACTTCCCACCACACTAACCAGCAATTAATGCGTCCTTCGGCCATCGGCTGAACCAGTCAACAGTGCATCCTGAAATCAGGGCAGGGAACTTCAAAGCTCGATTTCGAAATTTCTCCCCGACCGGCGAAAAGCAGAGCACAATGTGGAGGTTCTGCCGGACCCGACTCATGAAGTACTCATACAGGTTCTCGTTGGTCGGAGGACGTCTGGGGTGTTCTCTTTTCATGACTGGTATGAGATCACTGTTAATTTCATCAACTTCATCACGAGCAAATAGGTTGGAGACCTGAAAAAAGTGCAGACATTCAAGTTCAGTACAGACCTATGAAAACAGATGGAAACGGGTAGCTCGATTTGTACAATGTCTTTCTTCCATGTGTGTTCTTAAACTCGCCTTTAGGAAATTAACCAACAGCCTTCAAGATGAGATACACCACTTTTTAAAATACACGAGCGATTCTACCATTCACTACAAAGTCATAGCCTGTTCTTATAACCTCCCTCTTCTGTTTTTTTCATTTTTCACTTGGAGCACTCATTGAGGTTTTAAATGGATAGCTCCACATTTTGGAGTTTTATTCTCCAAAAACCCAATAGAAAAATCCATTCCTTATACTGATCACCTAACCCCCAGTAATAGCACTTATTCAAAACTCTCATGCAAGAAAATACAGACAGCACTAAAATTGGAGGGAATCTGAAGAGACAAAATACATGAACAATAAATGAGCACCTACCTCACCCGACGATAAAACGTTGTTCATATATTCCAAAAATGACTCATCCTTAATCTCACTGTCCGTGAAAATAAAAGTGATTCCTTTGCCTTGCTGACCAGCTGTTCTATACAAAATTTTCAGGTCTTCCATCAGATTTGATGTGTTGTAGGATCTAAGGAAATATTGTCATTGTGTCATTAGCTAAATTATTTTGATGTGAAGGAAAGATCCTTAAAACAATGCTTTATGCCATTTAATTAAGCAAAAGAATACTGATATTATTGCATCAGATGGGCATTTAAATGTAAGTGAATATTACTGGTTCATTATATTTACTTACAAATATTAAACTTATTTTTAAAATTTTCTTTCCGTTTCTAATAGCTGTTCTGTAGGGAGTAATAGAAGTGCAGCATCTTGGTAAAGTTTTGAGTACTTTGCTGTTTACTAAAGTCGAGAACTATTTTTTCATTGAGGTTTAATTGCTGTATAACACTATACTAATCTCAGGTGTACAACATAATGATTTGTGTGTGTGTGTGTGTGTGTGTGTGTGTGTGTGATAAACTTGATTTTTAAAACTCCACATTTTGTGAAGCATTATAATTAATGTTTTACACACAAAAAAGAGATCTAGAGTGAAAAGTAAACCTGGAACAAAAATGTACTGTTTACCACAACTAAATGTCACCTGGATGTGTTTATGTTTCCTTTTGAAAATATTTTTGGTAATGATAATAGAAGAGACAAATTGGAATATATACTAAGCACCATCTGCAATGATATTTTAGAAGATACCTCACAAATTAAATCAAACTAAACTAAATCATTTCAAGCCTTTATTATATGGGATGAGGGAGATGCCCTATTATAAACAGTGGCCTCCTCATCCCTAACACAGTTATCCTCAATACATCTTTGGATCCCACATGAAATGGTTTGCTAAGCAATCAGTACACTGTAGTAGAATAGGTAGAAACATTATAAAATATTCCAATAAAAATCTTGCACTATCAAAAGCAATACTTCGATGAAAATTAGCTTGCAATCATGAAATGTTAGAGAGGTCCCAGTACAGAGTAGCCCATTAGCACCAAAAGTGAAAATAAAGATATTCCAGCCCTGGAGACTCAGACTTACTAAATTATTATTTGAATTCTGTGTCATTAAATAAACTCTGAGTTCAGAGCACAAGAGCAAATAGTCTTCTGATTTTTTTAAAAGCTACTAAATATTAACTTCTATACTCTGCGCTTTTTTAACCTCTATAACCTAAACCCTAGAACCAGAAGTACCACTACCATGCATCAATATTTTAAAAAGACTTCTAGAGAGGTGAGATCTGAGAGATTCAAATTTTAAAAAACAGTCCCCCCTTAACAAATGGCCATGCTTTCCAGACCTGAGGCTCTTGCTCCTTGACCTTTGGCCACATGGCTGTGCAAAGGCTTAGCAGCAGGATGGTCTCTTGAAGACTATGAGAAAGCAAGGAGGCCTTGACACCCTTTCCATCAGTAATGGAGCATTCCCAGTATGACATGCAGAGGAAATAATTTTTCATGAAGAGGGGAGTCATAAGATTTTTTACTGTGGCAGTGGGTGCAGTGGAAGTCAAGGCAGACCAGAAACCAGTAATATTGTAATCAATTCCCAGGTAGATCTGGGATTTCCGGTAAGACATTGCCTCTTGGAGTCTCAGCTATAAAAGAGGCTAATCTACAAAGTGCTTTTAAAGATTGAAATAGCTTGTGCATGTATCTATGGACTTCCATCAATGAGACGAGTCAGCTAAATGCTTTCCCTATGGTGCCAAGCCGCAGCTCTATATCAATGTCCAATAGGCAAGACTTTCTGCTCCTAGACCTAGAAATTAACCTCTAATTTTTAACACAACTAAACTTCCCAAACTGGCCTGCTGCTTCTCATCTTGATTAACCCTAAAATTCTGTTTAGCATCTCTGCATTACCCCTGCTTATCTCTTCAAGTTGACTTTTCTCTTCATAATTCTCCCTGTACCACACACCTATATCACATATATCTGATGACAACCCTCCTGGGGTTCCCCATCTTGACGAGGAGCAGTACCACTTACCTAGTTTCCCAAGCCAGAACCAGGATAGACCAAATCCAAAAACTCAACTTCCTAATGATCTCTTGAATATGTCTGTCCTCTGTTCCTTTCTCACTGCTACCACTCACTGCACTACCATCTCTTGCCTAGATCCCTGAGACAGCCCTATACCTGTTCTGGTTTAGCTCCTTCCACCTATTTTCTGTACTGTGCATACAAATCTGACATGTTTCCCCCAGTGATTAACTCATTAATGGTTTCTTATTGCTCCAGGATAAAGTCCAAATCCATATGACACTTTCAAAGGACTCCATTTCTCTTCCTTTCCCCAACTTATAATTGACATATATCCTTTAGACTATATACGCCATATACCCAGCTATATTTAACTTCTTCCAGGGCCTCGAATGTTACTTCACATGTGCTGATTCTTTTGTCTGGAACATTCTTTACTGCCCCTCTTCTGTGAGATAATTTTGACTCATATTTAGGTCTTAGTTGAAACATGTCTTCCTCCAGGAAGCCTTTTCTAACCATCACTTAGACTAGGTTACGAGTCCTCCCCCTGTTTCAACAACACCTGGTCTGCATTTATTTCCTTATCATAGATAGCACCTATGTATCATATATATCAATTGAGTTGCTCACCTAACTGTCCACCTTGAATTACTGTAAACTCCATGATAACACAGGTGAGGTTTACCTTGCTTACCATGTACTCCTCAGTACCTCGCCAGTGCCTGACACATAGGTGGTGTTCAATAAATATTTTTGAATGTCTAAATAAGGAAATCTGTATTATTTTTCATCTATTTTTCCAGTTTATTAATATTCTTGAAATCTGAATTAACATTTAGTTGGGAAAAATTTCCTCTGAGATGCACCAAAAGGAATATACATAATACCCGCATCATGCATAACATAAAGACAAAGCCAGCTATTCATCACAATGAGATGCTGAAAAGTTTCAAAAGCAAATTATTAATGTGAAATCTTCACGGTTCATAACAGAAGTTGAAATGGAAAGATGATAAGTCAACAATGAAGAAGAAAAACTATTGTGATTTTTTTTATGTATAAGCAAAATGCATTCTTAACTTCAGGTGGCCTCTGAGAACTGTTTATCAAATCCATTCAGGGTTCATTAAAGCTAAACCGTGTTACCTTGTCAGCGTGATCTGGAAGAAAGTATAGCCAGCAATGAACGAAGCCAACCTTGTCAGGCTCTGCTTTCCCGATCCACCAACCCCGACTAAGAGGGCATTTCCCCGGGGAGTGCGAATGATGCGTGAGATCTAGAATATGGAACAGAAAAAGCATATATCATCCAACGTGTACATATTCCATTTTTTCCTACTTATTCTACATAGCATTGTGGAAGGTGTACATTTCTCAGGATCAGAACGGAGAGGGATAAGGGTTGGAGGAACAATGGCATTACTGAAGTGTTTAGTAATATTGAACAGAGTGGGGAATGTGGGGTGTGCCTTTAGGAATCTAGAAAGAGACCAGTATAGATAAGTCAGCAGTCAGCCCCGACTGTGGCTTGCTCTGGGTCTTCAAGAAGAGAAACAAAGAAGACTTAAAGGTTTCCTTTAGTTTGCCCAACCTACTGCAGTAGGATAGGGGGAAAAAAGAAATTTCAAAACATGTACCTTTGGAATACAGATCCCACAATTGATTAGAATATCCTCCATATCTGAAATATGACAGTTTAAATTGAAGAGAAGAAAATTCCCCAAATATGGCATAGATACAGAATTTATTTTTAAAGAAAATGAGCATAAACACCCTCCTGTTATTTGGCCAAGACAGTAATATCTAATATATCTACCAAGAAGTGCCTATAGGTTCACCAACCAGAAGTCCACTCTATTCCAGTCAGTAGCCCCAGACCATTCCAAGTCCCCATTGTGGTAAAAGTTCATATTTCTTTGGCTTTTACTGGTATTGAATGAACTACTTACACCATCAGGCCTCCAATCCCACCTAGAGGGAATTCAGTGCAGAATTCTCCTTGATGCATTCTTCACCTTGTATGATAACGATCTTTCCCTCCTAACTGCAGGTTAAGCCTGGGGTACTACAGTAATACCCACTGTTCTCTAGAGAGTGGGTTGGGGCTAGGAAGGAGTCACTTCCCCGTGGCTGGGGAAGCTTCCTGGAGTAACTCGGGCTCTGCACTCTGCCAAGGTTTTGTTAGACATCCTTTGTCAGGATTCAGGAATAATCTGTGCTCTATTCATACTGACTATTCTTGGCTTTTGAATTATTTCCCCCAATTCAGTGTGAGCCCCAGGAAATGAAAACCATTTTCCTGTCTCTGTTGTGGGAATCTGTGAGATAGGGCTATATTGGAGACTTGGTTCCACGCCAAACCTATTTATCAAGCAGCTCAAGTGTGCCTGTCTCAGCAGTACTCCAGCCAGTGAATGCTGAGGTGAACAAATTGGATGCCCGCCCTCATGGAACTTATCATCCCGCAGGAAAGAGGAACACACAAAAAGATCAATCTACACAATACAGCACCTGCTGGGCATGCAGTATTGGTGAGATGTCCTGCAATCAGGATGTGTTTCATTATAAGAAGTTGTGTGTGTGGGTTTTTTTCTGGATTACAAGGCAAGCAGAGCATGAGCCATGCAACTGGAGTGCGAGGCAGGTGCTAGATCATAAATAATGTACACACCACGGCTTGAACATTAACCAAAGACACAAAAGAGATATCCCAGAACTATCTCTGTTTTAAAAGAAAATCCTTATTTTAATTAAGGAAGGCATTAAGAAATATGCTTGGTCTCACATCACATCCTGTTTTGCTAAAATTTTATCTTAAATTCTGTCTCTTGGTTTCCAACATGACTTATAACTAGGTCACACATTTTAAGACTCACACCAGCATGACACAGACTTCGCATGTATTTTTCACAGAAAACAAGAGTGTAGAAGAGATGGTCATCCTAGAAGACTGTGAAAATTGTAGCCTTTAAGCTCAAAATCCAGTCATGAATTACTCGGCCAATTCCAGAACAGACACACTAAATGCTCTGAGAAGGAGGAAAAACACAGTCAAGGACCCTGTGCTGAGGCACCCAAGTCTTGAATGTCATGCCCAAAGTGGAGAAATGCTCCCAGTCATCATCTGTGCTGTGAAACACAGAAAAAAACACAGTTCTAGGGAACTTCCTCAAGCGTGGGTCTAACATAAATAACTTCATCTTCACTTTGAGCAATTATGAAATCCCAGGCCAATCAGACTTTGTCTCCAGTAGGTACTTAGTCATGAAGTTGTCTTGATATTATTTATTCAGAAAATGTTTTTCTTTTTTTCTTCTTCTTCTTCCTTTTAATCATTAAATCTGGCAGACTATCA